ATCTGCTGAGTTTATGCTTCTTGAGAAATCATCCAGCTTCTGGGCTAAAATCGGTTCTTATCACCTCCTCACTGGTGAAGTTGCAAAGTCCTTTGCAAGGCATACATGGCATCTGGCATATGCAGTAGAGCCTCAAAGTGTCAGGCTCTATGGAGCCAGTGATCAGTACTCCTTGTGCTTGATGGGAAACATTGGGTTTCATTCAGTCTGTGTTTCCCCCTTTTTGAGGCTTATCTAAGGAGTTATGTCCTTCCATACGCTCCTGCTTCTTGGGTGACATTCTTTAGACTAATTACAAAGGCTACAGCTGGTCCTTGATGAATGTTGGAGGTGTTACTGACACCACCCCGTGACTCAAAGCACACACACAGCAAGCTCTGAGACAACGTACTCGGTGCATCTTCCTCGATCTTCACACGCTCCTCGGTGCCGCACCTCTTCCATAGTCGGATGAGCAGAACCCAGTTAAATTCAGAGTAAATGCTCTGAGCCCGAGCTGAAAAGCTCAAGGCTTCTATTTCAAACCTGGAAAAGATTTTGTATGGGCAGAAGGTTGGTTGTTTTTCCAGTTGTGTCATCTAGTTCCATAAAAGAGATTGCGTTCCCCTCCAAGACTTGGGCTCGGGTCACCCCAATCCAGAACTCCCCCACCCAAGGCAGAATTCCCTCTGAGGGCAAGAAATGTGGGTAACCGAGGGGTGTGGGATGGGGTTAGTAGCAAAAACATGCTGCTGGAGTTTGTGTTTAGCTTGGCTGGGACTTAAAACCCTCCACAGCCCCGCTCTCCTGCCGCATCCTGGCCGAGGCAGTGTTTGCACCTCCTGTTTCCACTGGAACTGATTCATAAAAAGAAAAACCCAACATGGAACAACTTAATCCTCCCAAACACTCATCTTGTGCCATAAACTTAGAGCTCAGCCTAAAAATAGCTCTGTTCCCTGTTTGAGGTGTAGTCCCGACTGCTGATTAGGTCTTGGGAACCAAAAATAGCTCCTTAATCCAGTGCCAGCATAAGCAAGAGGTTTTTCCTTGAACGGACACTTTTTGAAGCAGATCAGGTTTTAAGGCTTGTTCTTTCAAAGGCCCCGTCACCGAGCACCCAGATTAATTTTAATGACAACAATATTACAAGTGATGGGATGGGAAGTGCTGGGAGCATATCTGTGTGAGCTGAGCCAGTGCAGAGCCCTTACGGGCTGTTACATCTCATCGTCCTCAGGAGCTCATGCCTTTCCTTCTGCTAATCCACCCAGATTTTCTCTCGAATTTTTTTTTTTCTTTTTCTGCAGGATGACGTAAGATATAAAAACCACTTGCAAGATTTTTTTTTTTTTTTTCCCTGCTAAATGATTCAGCCCCCAAATCTCTCCTCTCCCAGCTGGCAGGCTGCTGCAGCCCTTCCCCCTTGAACTTCTTCCAGGCCTTGCATCAAACTGAACAACGTAATATTTGATGTGCTGTGGCTGCAGCCTGTTTCAAGCAGCCTTTTCCCCACTGCTCCTACGGGAAGTGTCCACCTGACTCACTGCTCCTGCTCCCTCGCTGCTCCCTGGCAGTGGATCAGCCTGTTCTGGTGGCTCTTTGCCACCGCTGCCTTACTTTAAGGGGTTAATGCTGCTTTTTTTCCTTTTTTTTTCTTTTTTTTTCCCCTCCCCTACACGCCTGGATATTTTCAATCTTGAAGCCTGACTAGTGAAAATTTTGCAGTGAGCATCATATGAGGGTGGGACAAGAGAGTGGTAGGAATAGAAATGGGTTCACTGGGGATTTAACCCTGTGTCTGTGCCCAGCAGAGTCCCAGCCCTGTCCCTCCTGCATCTTGGGGACACCTGAGTTGTGTGGTGAAGGACCCATGTGCCTCCAGCTGTGCACTCGTGTTATTTATCCAGGTGTCCCAGCAGGGAATTGGGGGTTTTGTGCCCCCTTCCCGAGGCACGGTGTAGGCTCCCCAGGCTTTCCAGCTCCTCCCTTTGTCCGAGATGCGATAACTTCCCCAGCTGTAATTCAGAAACTTCTGGAGGACACAATTCAAGTTCTTTTTTTTTTTTTTTTTTGGTCTTTTCAGTGACTTCACTTTTCATGTGGATGTAAGACACCGCCGGGATTTTTATTTTCTGGGAGATCATTGGGAAATTGTTAAACCCACATCTAGAAATATCTTCCACCTCCCGTTGCTGCATGTTTCGCCCATGAACCATGTCATGGAGAAATAGAGTCTGATTTCCTTGTGCCTTGTTAAAGGGGAATTTTAATACTTTGATCTGGGAGGGATCAGAGCTACCGGGGCAGTGGCTGTGCTGGACACCCGCTCGTGCCACCACGGGAAATGGTGCTGGGACTGGGGCAGAAAGATGAGGCATCTTGTGGGAGGGAGGAGGGAGCGGTTTTGGGGAAGAAATGGTTCCCTCATGGCCTGTGCTTTGTGCTGCCCTGTCTGAACGTGGTGCCATGGCGAAATGGAGAATTAAAAGGTGCCCTCTGGGCATCTCCTGCTTTTGGCTCTCCCCTTCTCCCATCACATACCAGGGGTTGCTCCGTGCCCTGCTGTCTCATCCATCTTGCCCGAGAGGCCAAGAAGGCCAATGGCATCCTGGCTTGTGTCAGCACTGGTGTGGCCAGCAGGTCCAGGGAAGGGATCTGAGCCCTGGGCTCAGCACTGGGGAGGCCGCCCCTCGCTGAGGGGGTTCAGTTGTGGGCCCCTCACCCCAAAAAGGCCATTGAATGACTCGAGCGTGGCCAGAGAAGGGCAACGGAGCTGGGGCAGGGTCTGGAGCACAGGTCTGCTGGGGAGCGGCTGGGGGAACTGGGGGGGTTCAGTCTGGAGAAGAGGAGGCTGAGGGGAGACCTCCTGGCCCTCTGCAACTCCCTGCCAGGAGGGGGCAGAGAGGGGGGATGAGTCTCTGGAGCCAAGGAGCCAGCGCCAGGCCCCGAGGGAATGGCCTCAAGCTGCCCAGGGCAGGGTCAGGCTGGCTCTGAGGAAGGATTTCTGTGCAGAAGGGGCTGTTGGGCGTTGGAATGGGCTGCCCAGGGCAGGGGGGAGTCCCCGGGATCCCTGGAGGGGTTGAAGTCGGGCTGAGCCAGCGCTGAGGGATCTGGGGGAGTTGGGAACGGTCAGGGGGAGGGTCATGGTGGGGCTGGAGGAGCTGCAAGGGCTTTTCCAACCGAGAGGATTCTGGGATTCCCATGTGGTGGGATATGAGGAGGGGGAATCTTCTGAATTCCCTGAGAGCCTGCGTGCTAGTGGAAGAGCTGGTCGAGTCACCACAAAGACTCCAAGGAACAATTGTGCTGGTGACTATTAACTGACCATTATAGTGAGTAAATGGAGACAATTTGGCAACAGTCAACTGATAACCGTCCTGAGAACGAATAAAGGTACTTTGGGGATGCGACTGTTTTCCTAATAACTGGTCACTGATCAACCAGTCACAATGCAACTCCTGCAAAGCTTATACACATGACTGTATGTAAGAAAGAGAGAGAGAAGAAAGGGGAAGAAGAGAGGAGGAGGGGATAGGAAATGGGGAAATCAGCACCCTTGGACCCATGTATTTACGGAATAGCCAGCGTGGTCTGTAGGTGGGTTGATAAAAGACACACGTGGGGTGTTGCCTTTATATAGTCTTACACCTGCACAGTTGGTTGTTCCAGAAGTTTCTCATTTTCTCGGGCTTGTACCTGCTCAGAGAGGCAAGTTCTCTCTCTGGGCAGCAATAGGAGGGAGGGGGAGAGAACTGGCCCACCGCCCCCTCTCTGCAGAGCCCTTGTGCTTCCTCCCCAGGGCATCCCCCTCGAGTTGTCTGAGACATCCTCTTCACCAACAGCTGCTTGATTACGAACAGTTTGTGGCACCCGCCAGTGCACAGGCTGTTCCCTGGGCAAGGCTTGGGCCCTAACTGGAGGCTGGGAGGTTTTGTTTGTTTTTTTTTTTTTTCCCTTGTGCAGTGAATGTTTTGGAGGCATTTCCCATGCTCCTTCTATCTCTGTGTGCAAAGCTATGGAACAGAGTCTGCGTTAGGGGTTGTGTCTGGGCAGGGCAGTGGGGAGCATCCCCCAGTAACCTCCGCAGAGGCAGGTGAGGCTTTTGTGCTGGTGTTTACAGCCAATGTCTCCTTCCAGACCCTTTGGCGACTGGCACGAGGGGTATTAAAGTCAAGTCCTTTTTTCCTCCTGAGCTCAAGCTTCTGGCTGCCTCAAATTTTAGACATTTCAGCAGAATTAAGGGATTTGGAGGAGGGGAAGGTGATGGATGTACAGGTGTGCTGCATCCTCCACCTTAACATCAGGTCATCGCAGATCGATCCCAGAGCTGTACTGCAGGCTGGAATGCAGATATTTCCCTAAAATCCAATAACCTGGGTAGGGTGGGGTTGGGTTAGATAGGGTAGGTGCTGCATGGCAGCTTCTCCTGCCCATAAAGAGCTCCTGGGATGCAGCATCCTCTAAATGCTTGATGCAAGGACACTTCTAGGCAAACTTTAGCATCTTTATTTAGGGTGAGGCACAGAAGGTCTGACATAAATTTATTTTAATGAATGTTGTTGAGTGCCTTTGCCATTACGGTACTGTCTCTGACTTGAAAGGATTTGTTCTGAGTCACTGGCTCTTGAATATTTAAAACGCAAGCCCAAAGCACCGTCTTTTTTTAAACATGGGCTCAGAGCAACATATCAACTGACCACACAAAAATTCAGCCACCGGTAATTTTCCCCTGAAATGAACGGCAGTATCCGACACTGGGGTGAGTGAGATGGCATTTGCCAGGTTATTTACTGGGAGGGCAGTATTTAAAATGTAGTGTTTAGTGTTAGGACAAGACGGGAGACACAGCTCTTATAAAGCTGCTGCAGTTCAGGGAGGGGTCTGCTCTCTGACTCAGGTCTTTGGTGACTTCTGGGGCACTTGTGCCAGCTCCCACCCATCCTCCCCAAGGTCTTCCCGGCTTGTGGCTCTTGGAAATGACAGACTGGCCTTTCCTTTACTTTCCTCTCTGGCTCCAGGTGGTACAAGCTCCACTCCAAGGCTGGGAAGAAGGAGAAAGAGCGTGGTGAGATCCTGGTGAGCATCCAGTTCACACGTAACAACCTCACAGCCAGCATGTTCGACCTGTCCATGAAGGACAAGCCACGGTCGCCCTTCGGCAAGCTGAAGGACAAGGTGAAAGGCAAGAAGAAATATGACTTGGAGTCAGCCTCTGCTATCATCCCCAGCAGCATGGGCGCCCTCGACATGGAGGATGACTACGACATCGGAGGCAAGAAGTCCAAAGTCAAGGGCTTCTTCTTGAAGAACAAGCTGCGCAAGTCGTCCCTGACGCAGTCCAACACCTCCCTGGGATCTGACAGTACCATCTCTTCTGCCAGCCTGAGCTTGGCCGCAAATGTTCCTGAGGTAACCAAATCCCCGAGCAGACACAGCAGTCTGTCCACGGAGCGCTCTGGTAAGAGGATAACAGTTTTAATTCCTCTCCGCTTTTTTTTTTTTTTTTTTTTTTTTTTTTTTTTTTTTTTTTTTTTTTACCCTTCATAAGGAACTGTTGAGGTTTTCCTGCAAATCTGTTAACTAATTGCTTACCTAAGAAGCAGCGTCCTGCACAAACCCGCCAAGTCCTTCTGTGTGCTGGCAGTAATGTGCCTGCCAGAACGAGGAGAGACATCTTAACATTTTATTTTTTATGCTGAGCCTGTATATGAACAGCCTGACTTACACTGACGCCGCGTGTGCTCCCTGCGGCCACCACGAGCTCACGGGCTGTGAGGGCTCTCCAGGAACGTTTCTTCTCTGCCCCCAAAAAGCATGTCACTAACATTGACTCGTAGCACTAAAGACTCTGGGAAAAACTGGGTGACTCAGAGCATGTTGCTGCTGCCTGGTTGTCTAACGAGAAACCTCTGGCTTGGAGGCAAAGCTGAAACAGTGACCGGTCCCTGGTGATTAAAACAATCTGAACTCTTGGCGCTCAGAGAGCGGCGATTTGCAAACAAAAAAGGCCCTTGTAGTGAATTAATTCTCGCCGTTCCTTGAAAACAAAATATATAATTAAATGGTTTAATTGCTGAAGACAGCAAATTCCCCGATTGGGTGGGAGTCCCTGGGTATGTGTTGCTTCTCACTGTGCTGCTGAAGCCACGTGATGCCACTCGGTTTCTGCTGGGTGACGTTCCTGTGAGCGGCTGGAGAGTGAGCGGAGGCACCGCTCTGGCCCTGCCGTCCTGGTGCCGTCGTGAAGGAGACAGCATCTCCAGCTGGGAGGGGAGAGCAGCTGCCTCTCACCCGAAGTCCAGGCAGTTCTCACCGGGCTCTCCATGTAACCCTAAAAATGTGAGCGTTAGCAGTAGCCGCAGGGTCAGGTAGTGGGAGGGAGAAGCAGGAGCTGGACCTTCCTGGCTTATATCACGCGGAGCAGCAGCCTGGCCTGTCGGAGTGGAGCTCAGAGGCTCCTCATCTTTTATTCAATGCAAATTCTTAAGTCACACGGAAGCATAAGCCCTTTAAGTAGCTCCTGGGTAGTTTCTTGCATTTATTCTCGGATCTCAGATCCTTTCAGACAAGGGGTTTGTCGTCTTACGGAGGCTCCTCTCCGGATCCTGCAGTGGGGCGTGATGCGCTCGGGGAGAGTACCGTGTAGCCTGTATAGCCACATACTTGTGACCGTGCTTTGCATTTCTGGTAGTTTAATTATAATCTGGTAGAGCCTGGGAGGGAGAAAGCTGGTTTGATTTCATAGATCTCTGTAGTGTTTGCAGGTAGAAGATAACAATGCTTGTTGTACCTTTGCCTGTTACTCAGATGTCTTTGCCTGTTTTGTGTTTTATTTCCCCCCAGTGAAAGACTACTTGCCATCTCCAAAGCTGACCCACAAGAGAGCATTCAGTGACGATGTCTCCCAAGTCAGCCCGGTCCTGGAGCCCAAAGCAATCCACAGCCTGAAGCCAAAGAACGATCCCGTGTCCCGCTCTTCCCTCTGCATCAACGGGAGCCACGTTTACAGCGACGAGCCTGCACCAAAGAGCCCCGTGTCTGTTCCGCAGAGCTCTGCGCCGCTAGCGGTGCCCAGTGTCCCCAGACGGTCGGAGGAGGGCTTTGTCTTCGTCTCCCTCCCTCCCGACTCCCACGAGGTGCCTTGGGGGGTCAGCACCTTTGAGAGGACGCAGCAAAGAGACGAGCCGAGGTTCATCCCGTCTCCTCCCAGCTTAGCCTTGCAGGAAGAGCTCAAGGTCTCCACGAAAGCCGTCACTCTCAGTAACCATCTGGGCAGAGCCAAGATGGAAGAAAACAGTCGCTTAGAGAACAAGCCGACTCAAGCTGCAATACCCATGGTCTTCTCCACGGAGACGACGAAGGACAAACCACCTGAGGAAATGAGGAAGGAAGACAAGAGAGCGAAGGGCGGCCTCTTCCACCACGGGGGCAACAAGAGTGACGCGGGGAGCAAAGGCCAGGGGGAGAAAGTGGGACCCTCCCACGGCTCATCCGTCCACGCGACAGCAGGGGGAGATGAGAGGAATAAAACCAGTAGCTGGTTCGGTTCAAAGGAGCCCAAAGAGTCCCCTCAGAAACCCAGGTCAGTGAAATGGGGGGTGGTGATGTCTAGGCCAATAACTAGCTGCCCCAGCCTCCTGTCTCCAAGGGCTGCGCTGTTAAACGCTCTCCAGCGTCAGTGGTGGGCCGGTCCCCATTGCTCAGACAAGATGATAGTGGGAGAAATGCTTCCTAGGTCTTAAATCTCTCGAAGGGAGGGTGATTTTTCCTGGATCCTCCCCTGGCCTCTGCCACAAAACAACTTCATTTGCCCTCCTGGGTTGTGTTTCCCGGTTGCGGAGGGGAGGGATCCCCTTCATGGAGAGGGGGACATTTCCTTCTGCAGAGGTGAGGCTCAGCGTGGTCCTGCCAAGTGGTTTTGTGGCCTCAAAGGGTCATTATCCTTTAATTAGCTAAAAAGGCTTCCCTGGCAGTCAGTGTGGGATGTGGGACACAGTGACATGTAACTGCGTTTTTTATTAACCTCGCTGGTCCAGCCTGGGGGTGCAGCACTTTGGTAACTTGAGATATTATTAATATTTCTGAAGTAACTAATCCCAGTCCTGCTCTTTCCTCTTCCCATCGCACCCCAGCTTTCCCCTCTCCCGATTATGAATCTCTAATTGTTCTCGCTTTGTGTGATGATTCATCCCTCCAAATCCTCAGCCCTGTATTTGTGGCACACAAAACGTGGGGTCTGTGCTGTTTCTGTGCCGGCTTTATCGCGACAGTGCATCCCCCACGTCCATCCCCCACCTGAGCTGGGGCTCCAGAGGTTGACCGAGACCTGGTGAGAGCGAGAAAATGGGGCTAAAAGCAGCCTGAGAAAATAACTAGCAGTTGAGAGCTGGTTGAATCTACAGGGTTGATTTATTATAAGGATTTTCTAATCTGGGCTGACTTTAACCTAATTTATCAAGCAGAAGGGTTTTAATTCAGTCTAAGCCTCCTTTAATGAGGAGGGCACTCACGGTTTATTCAACCTAACCAGATTCCTCCGCGGGTTAAACTGATTTTAAAGTGCTGCTCGGATGTAAGTGAGGGGGTGAGCACATCGCTCCGCATGGCTTCAGAGCAGGGGGCACCCCCAAAGTCCTCCTCTCCTAACCCTGCCGGAAGATGTCATGGTCCTTAAGGCCAACGGGAGGCAAGAACATGCTGCCACCCCCCTTCCCCAGGACCCGAGGCCACGTGTCCTTGTGCCGTGTGGCACCCGTGGTCCCACGAGGGGCATGAGGGTGGGAGAGGAGCCACGAGGGCTGGGGAGGCTCTGTCTTGCCCGAGGCAGGCAGGGAGCTGCTCCCCTGAGGCACTGATCCCCCATCTCGCAGGGCCTGGAGCTCCTTTCCGCCCCCAAAGCCTTTCCCTGGGGCATGAAGGCTGATGGGGAAGGGGAGGACCAGGCAGGGTGTGGGCTCTCTGTCCTCGAGTTGCTCCAACAGCAGGAGGGACAAATGTGACATCCTGGGACTGTCTTTCATTTCCAGGGGACTCCACACCCCGGCAATTCCTTGGTGTCACATCCCAGTGCAAAGTTTGTTTCTGGAGGAGACTAAAGGACTCTGGTCTCTGAATGGTGTGATTGAGGAAGGATATTACCACTCAAGATTGGTCTATTTTTTTTTTTTTCCATTTTGCCATAAAAACCCTCCTGTTTGATTTAAAATAGAAAAGATACCATATGAAAAATAAACCCATAAAAACCCCTGCTGGATTCAGGCAGTGGCTTGAGCCAGCCAGCGAAGCGCCGAGAGCCTACACCGTACGCACGGGATGGGAGATGCCCTCTGGAGCCTTCTCCTCCCTAAACGGGTGAGAAACCTGCAGGTTTCCTCCTGCTTTGCAGTCCCAGGAAGGAGGCAGAGGCAGGTTGTGCGTTCCAGCCCGCCGGGTGAGCCGTGCCCGCGCCGCCCCTCTGAGGGACGTGGCTGTTTTCCAGGCGGGGACGTTGGATCCGGCTGAAGCATCCAACCCAGCGGATGATCAGAGCAGAGGTGCCCTTAAACACCGTTTGTACAACCCTCTGCCTTTTTTTTTTTTCTTTTTTTTTTTTTTTTAAGTGACAGCTGCTGGACCCGTTCCCAGCGTTATGCCTTTCCCAGAGGGTTTTCACTCTGTGGTTTTTTAAATCTGCTTCACTGCTCACAGTTTAATTTCAAGCTGAGCTGAAGCTAAGCTTCGCTTTGAGTTGGTTTGCCATGATGTGCTGAGGACCCCGTCCGCGGGTGGCTGTCTGTGAGGAGAAACTTGGATGAGCCATGCAGCAGCAGCTCCTCTGCTTGGGGTTTTCTCTCCCCAATATAGGAATCACTTGGGTTGGAGGGAATGACTTCACAGGGGCCCCTTTTTGGGGTGTTTCTAAGCATCTGGATGGGCTTTAATTGCAGTTTGCAATTTGAAAATTGGAAGTAATGAGTTTAAACTCTAGCAAGGGGGATTTAAGTTAGACATTAGAGAAAGTCTCAAAGGGAGGATGGTGAAGTGCTAGAGCTGCCTGTCTGGGAGGGGGAAGCCCAGCAACTGGGCCTTCGGGGACCGGGGCGATGGGCTTCAGGGAACGTTACAGGAAGAATTTGTCCTAGACATGGCCCGGGCTGGGTGGTGGGAGGAGGTGACTGCGCTCATTAGATGCAAAAATGGCCTCTCCATCATCACGGGGAGATGGACTGTCCCTAGTTTTGCTCTCCTGGTTCATTTTTTCTGCCCATTAATTACTGTGTCGTTACTTATTCTAATTATACAGAACTTGAACTTTCCTGATTTTTATTCTTCTTCCTTATGCTGAACGACCTTGGGGACCATGCCCCTGATTCATGGCAAAGCTGTTGAAGAGCTTCCTAGGTCCTGATGGTGCCGGGTTGAACACAGGGGCTGGTATCCTCTCTGTTGTGATAATCGGAGGCGTGCGGTCTCCCAGGTCAGCCGCACTTACTGGTGGGTGTTCTGTGGGTGTCTCCCTGCATCTGGAGGAGCTATTCAGTTACCAGTGTAACTTCTGGAGATGAAGATGGATTAACCTTTGCTTTATAGAGAGAACCAGCCTCTGAATTTGAGCAGTTTTAAGTCTTTGACTTTCTTGCAGAAAGGTTTTTTTTTCCTTCCGCTTTGCTGGTTCTGGAAACTTCAGCTTTGTGGCTGCTATCAGCTGAGCAAGCAGCGTCTTCTCACCTTTTTTCCCATCGTGGACTGGTCAAGTTTCACCTGAAGCTGAACTTGGGGAAAGAACATCAAAAGCAGTCAGCTTTTCAAGACCAAAAAATTAGTTAAAAGGTCTGTAATTAGAAAGAGCCTTTACAGTTAAGGATTAAATTAGCCTCCAGCTAAGACGAGTTTGGCAGAGCTTGTCTTTAACCACTTGCTCTTACAAAACCACACCCTTTCTAAAATAAGGAAGCCGCTGACTTTCGGCTGGTTTTAACTTCAGCTTTATGAAAAGGTTTTCTGCTCTGTGTTTTTTGCTGAGCCATTGGCAAGCGAGCGTGAGCTGGTGCTGCCCTTCAAGCTGCAAACCTGTCCGCGCTCTTACCTGGGGAGAGGGCTGGATATTTCTACTTTCAGCCCTTATTTACATATGTTTGTTTGCTGACTCTTGACAAGGAAGCAGGTCCCAAAGGCTGTGCTTTTTAGTCCTGGCTTTGCTAATCCGTGGCAGCTACCGGGCTTTGATACTGGCTTGAATGGAAGCAGTAGGAAGATAGTGTTTGCTCTTTGGAGACCTGAATAAAAGACTGGTTTGGGTTTGTTGTTTTTAAGGTTGTGTGGTCAAGGGTTGTATGTAAGGAAGAAGCTCAGCAGGTTTATTTGAGGCAAGGCCTGGGGCTAAAACAATTGGTTTAACTATTTTCAGGGTTTCCGACAGTGTTATCAGAGCTCCACAGGTCCTGCTTTTTGTAGTGTGACTTGGGGTGATAAAATGAGGCTGCATCTCATGCTTGGCAGTAGGAAAAAAGAGAAATTGTGCTCTCTCTTGTAAAAATAATTGCATTAGTGGCATTTACAGGTTAAAACCCCTTCCCTCTGCTGCTTTCATGGGGAGAAAATGTGAAATCACTCCCCACCTTGGCAGTCACCTCCCCTTCCCATAGTTCATACCCTTATATCCATCACTGAGGCCAAATATCGACCCAAATTCCTCCCTCTTCATCACGTACTCCTAAAAAGTACATTTCCTACATGCTCGAAATGGGAGGAAGGTTTCGAACGATTGGAACATGGTCCTCGGACGGGCTGGCGGTGGGGAGCGGCGCAGGTGTCGGTGGGATTGAGCACTGCTGCGTGTGACAGCCCCCTCCAACGCACCGTTAACGGGGATTTCCAGAGCAGAGAACCTGAGAGGCTGCAGAGTTTGATGAAGAGGAGCACGGTGGTGTGAGAACCACGGATAACGGTGACGCTGCGGGTGAGTCCGTCGTGGGAGCCGTCTGCCTTGGATCAGGCACAGGGTAAAAACGATCAGGAAAGGGAGCTGGATGTTCTCCCTCTGGCACGAGGAGTGCGGGGAGCCTGCCAGCGTGGAAAATGGCTCTTCGGATGCCTCTGCCTTCCTTTTGCCTGCTAAATCGGAATTTCCCAGGGATGGACATGAAGCAGGGTGGTGAAGTCGGATCCTAAACTGGGACCAGCTCAGCCCTGGTGGGACAAATCTGCTTTGTAGCTTTCCAGGTAAAGCCCAGCCCCACTCTCACCCTAAAAGCGGGTATCAGGGTTGGCAGGTTCCATCTACCTGGGCTCCTACTGCCCAGATCCTCTCTTTACTATGTTTTTTTTATTCCCTGGTTTTGGAGCAAATCTCTGTAAAGCAGGACTTGTCCGTTTTAACTGGGACGATGGGCAGGTTAAGACCAAGGGGAAAGCAAAGTGGTTATAGCACAGAGAACTAAACCCCTTGCTTTCCCCTCCAAAATTGCTATTTAAAAGCAAGATTTGCGTATATTCTCTTACTGCTTCCCACTTGGGTTCCCACCCTGTACAAAAATGTCCCAGGCTGCCGTACCCATCTCTTCCCAACCGCCTCCTGCACAAATCCTGCCCTGCTCATGCTGG